TCTATCTCTTGTTCAAAGGCATCAGGGGAATGACAAAATGTGCAGCTGGTTAAAAGTAAGAAGGTGATTATTTTGGTGAGGTTGACTTAAATCCTTACATCTAATGTAATGTTCTGTTATTCTGAGACATGAAAATATATCTGAAAAACTCGGGGGAAAGACAAAGTTTAAATTATATGAGAGACAAAAATATGCATCTACATCAAAATACCCAATAGAACTGCATCTGAAATCACTACTCTATCATCCATCTATTCTATAATCTGTTCAATACATTCCCAGAAGGCATCAGATTTTGCCTTTTTTGGGGGGGGGGAAATCATAAATTGTGTTCTTTATTTTGAGATTTCAGTTTTCAAACATAGATTTAAGTTTGCTTCTTCAGTATCTGGATATGTTGATTTTTTACCCTTTTGAACCACTTCAGCATTCCTCAAGAAATGAACTTGCCAGTTCCAAATTTGTCAATATTCTAAAATGGTTGTATTTATTAAATATGTGAGACTTACACATATTTTTGCACATATATTATGCAGTTTCTATTACAAGCAGACCAATTACACGAGAAGAATGGCACTTGTACTGTTTTAGAAAGGTTATATGACATTTTGAACTTCGTATCATGCATTTCCAACTACCATGAGAAGACTGTCAGAAAACACTGTCGTTTAGTTTTCGTGCTTTTTAAGCAGTGCAGCTCTAAAGAGTTTGGTCAAGCTTTAGCAAAAGTTATAACGTCTGTGGCGTAGTTCAAAACAGCCTTCATTTCACACAATTTGTGCTTTCATGCATAGGAATGAAAATTACAGTTCCAGGTAACTCTTCATCTATTTTCACATTAGAGTTTAAGATTGCAGCTGCTCACAGAGACTTGAAAAGAAAGAAAAAAGTGGGAGGGGGAAAAATGGAGCAACTCTTTAGCTGTCTGAAATGCCAGAATGTGGAGGAACAGGAGACCTTAACATTCAAAAACCTAAAGACAAAATCCACCAGCATTTCTTCTGTGCATATTACGTATCTCTATTATTAGGTATCCTTTTGTCCGAAGACCTAATGTTTAGCAATCTCTCTGTAAAGTACAGATCTCAGAATATTTGTTTTACCTGTTAATCCTGTAAATCTAAACATGCTTATTGACACTACCGATACTATGCCTATGCCGTCAGAATTTAAATGTGTGCTACTGTTTTAGTGATCTGATTCCCTGGACCTCAGATTTGCAAACAAATCTGGGATTAACATCTTTTAGCACTTAGGGAATTTCCGCATCTTATATTGGGCTATCTATATAGCCTAGTGCAGTGGTTCTCAACCTGGACCCCCGGATATACTTGTACTGCAACTCCCAGAAGACTTTGCCATCAGAACTAGTGGTGAAGGTTTCTGGGAGTGCAGTGCAAGAACATTTCATGACTCAAGGTTGGGAACCAATGGCCTAGTTCAGAGGACCAGCTTTCCTGCAGAAGCCTTTATTTTGCAACATCCTTGCATCAACATGGAAGTTTACATAAAATCTGAACATCATAGTTTTCTATCGGAAGCTCTTCTGCATTTCCCCATTGTTTCTTCTGTCACTTTTTTTTGCAGAGAAAATGTGTTAGGGAAAAAAGATGGAATAGCTATAAGATGCTTTCTGAATGTGAACATCAAGAGCCCTCTAGCACCTTTATAGACCTTTCATCAAAATAAATTTGCCAGGAATATTTTTAAAATGCAGTTAATATCATCTTGTCTCTAATTAAGATTCAGGTGAAGCATTCTGTAAATACTTAGCAGCCAAAGACTGCCATTTCCAGAGTTCTCCTATATTCAAAGTGATGTCTTTCTCCAAACAGTCTATGTTAGTTGGCACTATGCATAATACTAGTAAACATAAACATTTTTTTTTAAAAAAATCACTGTCCATGGGGTTGACAGGGAGCCACAACTTTCCCTAAATATTTTTCTTGTCCTTTCTACTTTTATGTATACATACTTTTATGTATGTGGAATTTCAGATTTTACCATGATAAGCCTCCACCAGCCCACACGAGAATAATAATGGATCCTTCGGAATGTTAAAACACAATTAATATAATAATGTAGCACCAATTCTCCAAACAATATGTCTGAAAATCAACTATTTAACATGAATTCACTTGGAGTGTCTTTTTAGTGATTTTTTTCATTGGCTTTTTAATGACTTTGCTTTACTGGATAAGTGTCCAAAGACAGCATCATTACCTTTGTACTGAGGGACTCTTGTGCAGCTGTGTGCTGTAATTTGGATATCCTCAACAGCACTAGAACCATAATTGTTTCACTTAGCCAAACCGTGAATTCAGCTTATTATTAAAAACCCTACACATTAATAGCTTTCGAATATGTCACTTCCATGAGGGGAGCACTTCGCAAGCTCCTGTTTTCACATCAGGGTTGCCAACTCTTTTAACAGACCCTGCACCTGTGATTTCAACTGTGAGAAGTGATAGTGGTGGAATTTTCCATAACAAGAAGAGCTTCAGATACTGGTTTCTATGCAGGATGCTGCTATTTTTATTTTTATAAAGGAGAAAGCCAAGTCCCCTTTTTGTCTAGTCACTTAATCTGTGTTCTGAATCAGGATGGTGCAGATCACCCTCCAAATCTGTTCGGGGCTGTAATCCCCACAGCACTAACCATGAATCTGTGCAGATGGTTAAAATGAGTTTGGGAGGCAATGTTATCATCACATTAAAAGAGTAAGCCCACTGGAGCAAGGAATGCTTCTTTAACACTTCCTGAGTTGGACTTTGTTTCTGTAAGGATTATTCAATATTTTTACTGGCAGAATACAGCGGCCTAATGCTGAGCCTGTGGCCACTGACAAAAATAAGTCATCCTGAGCCAGGAAGGAAAGGAAAGAAAAGGAAACCCAATTGTATTAACTTAGGAAATCCATTTGGATATACAGTAGCATAGGAGGAAAAAGAACTCTAAAATTTGGTTGTTCTGGGTTTTTCGGGCTCTTTAGTTGTGTTCTGAAGGTTGTTCTTCCTGACGTTTCGCCAGTCTCTGTGGCTGGCCTCTTCAGAGGACAGCAACAACCTTCAGAACACGGCCAAAGAGCCCGAAAAACCCAGAACAACCATTAGATCCCGGCCGTGAAAGCCTTCACAAACTCTAAAATTTGTTTCAGAACCTGTAGAACTGATTTTCTCACTAGTTGATCAGCCTTTCTCTCTCTCTAGCTAAAACAGAGGAACAGGAAAAAGCAGGAAGTGATCTTAGAGAAAGTGCAAAGAAAAACCACCCATTTACATGTAGGCTTAGAAAGGATAAACAGGGAAAGTATCCAGGCTCCTGTTTTTTCTGTTTATTACTCTCCCCTACAATTTACTACATGCTGGTACTCTAGCATTACAGTTTCTGCACTGCCAGCACACCAGGCAGTGTGATGTGTTTGAGTACTGTCACGCTGGAGCCTGTCACCAATGTAGGTGAGTGTAGTGCCGGTTTTGCAATAATGTTTCCTGAACATTGACCAGAGTTGTCCACACAACTTAGGATAATAAAAGCAAGCATGAGATTTAGTAAGATTGGGCGAGGTGAAGCAGAAGAGGGTGAGCATAAAAGAACCCATTGAACCCTAAGCTGATATCATCTAATTGTGGAATTGTATGGGACTCAGAGAGCATTTCTGATGGAAGGCCATCCAGCCTCTTTTTAAACACATCAAAAGAAGGAATGTCCACCACCTTCCAAGACCACCCATCCATTGTCCAGTAGTTACTTCTTATGGTCAGGCAGTTCTGTTTCTCAGTGGAACACAGTTGTCATGTTTAAAGGGGATGCTTCCTGTTTGATAGAAATGATTCTGTTACCAGCAGTCTTAAACTAGTTACTGGGTAGTAAATCTAATTGAATTTGGTGAAATTTGCTTAAGTAAAGAAAGTCTGTTTGGACATTCTGGTGCCTTATTCCTTTAATACCTTAAAACAGAGAGATGGGTTTTCAGAGTTCAACAACTTTTAAGCCTGTGGACTAGTATATTCCCAAATATTAGCTATAGTTGTATTCTTCAGTTATTTTACCCTGTACTTCTGGATTAAAATGAACGTCTATATAATCAAGTATAAAAAAATGTGTCCCTTGAACTCCTGAACCATCTGAACTGTTTAAAAAACAACCACTGGTTTGTTTGTTTTTAAGGCGCATGCCTGGGGTGGGAGGGGAAACTAAACCCTCCACCCCTAGTCTGCCTCCCTGGTGCTGCCACTTTTTCCTTTTTCTCCTCCTCTGCTGCCATCTTGAGAGACAGCCAAACTGTTTCCTGGAAGGGAAGCCAGGTTGCTGTATCTCAAGATGGTAGTGGTCTTGAAGAACGAAGAGGAGGAAGCAACAGGGGCAGCTAGGGAAGTGCTGAGGGGCAGTGGGAATGGGGTGGGGGGCAGGCTGTGGGAGCAGGAGGGGGAAAACGAACCAGAGTTCGTGAAATTGCAAAACAAGTTCATGGTTCCAGTCGATTCATCGAATTTTGAAAAACCTGAACTGACCCGAACCAACGAACCAGTGATTTTCCACAAACTTCTGGGTTCATATTCCAGTTCATGCCCATCCATAATGACATGACATGTATTCGAGGAGGAATGTAACTGGGCTCGACCTCATCAATTTCAATCCATTAATTTTGTCCCTTAGAATGTATGTTCATTACATAATAAATCGACACTAGTTCCTTATATGCACATGAGACCCCGGAAACATAAACACAGGTTGTAAGCCAGACCAGTAAATTGTGGGACTATATCCACATGCACATCTATAAAATTACAAGTGGCATATACAGAATAATAACCGTATGAAAGACTTTTGTACTGAACAACCTTCTGACACTTTTGTATCCAATTAGAAAGAAAGGAAGTGGGTAAATATTCAAAGGACAGTATGATTAACGAAAAATAATTAATAAGTGAGACATCTACATATGTTTATATGTGACAAAGGAGTTTATTATTACACAAATGAACTATGATGCCATATGTTTGTCTAGAATAATCACTAAATAACCAATGTATTTGGAATACAGGCTTTCAGTGTATTGTATAGAGACTTTGGTTTACTCAACAGTTTCAATTGCCTTCTGGATATAGAGAATTCAGATGCTGAAAATTATGAATATCCAAGTCACAGCCAGTGAAAAACATCAGACAGAATTTTCTTTGCTTTCTCTCAGTCTCAAATGTGAAGAGGAACATAGGTGACAAAGACTAAACAGCCATGGAATAGGCAGGAGAGGCCACAACTCCTTCAGGTACAATTATACAGGCAGGATTAGAACCTTTGGTCTTCCAGATATTCTTGTTCTTCAGCTTCTGCAGTGAGTATGGGCAAGAGCTAAGGATGATAGGAGTTGTCATACAACTAAAATCTGGGGGCCACATGTTCCCCAGCCCCAGAATACCAGCTGCATGTCCCATCTTTCTAGATTTCCTAGTTCCAGCTAGAGTAGACCATTGAATCAACTGCTCAATGATGAATTGGCTGAGTGTATCTTGTTGGATCCACTCCCTGGCTTCAGCCTTCAATTGGCACTTGGGTTAGATAGGCCAAAGACTCAAGAGTCGGGTAAGGTTGGACACTGAATCCTACACAAAGCCATTTTCGACGTTTCAAAGAAATGGTAGGAAAGGACCTGTACTGAGCTTCCTCATCTTGCGCAGAGAAAGAGGGAAATATATGCCTCTCTTCTGAGGATAATATCCTGAGAATGAAATTGAAAGCTGTTTTTGTTTGTTATTGATTACAATATTTTACTGCTTTATTTTGATTGTTTCATGGTACGTTAAACTATTTAAGACACAGAGAAGCAGTAAAAAACAGAAGCTTCCCTTCTGTTCTTCGGAATATCTGGAATAGATTTTAGGGCATCCCATCTTTTCTGCCTGCTGTTATCTCTTCAAATTGGAACAGGTTCTCTCCCCCCTGCTTTGATGTTCGACTGTGGATAAGTTTTTGTATCTTCACAGTCTTTTAGAGTACATTTACAAAGAATTTGCTTTCAAAGATATAGTTTTCCCTCCTAGCTGGTGTCCTATGAATGCTTTATTTATGATACCCTTGACCCATCTAACTGAGGAGAGTCTACTGCGAACTACAGTCCCTTCAGATGTTTTTGACTAAAATTCCCATGGTCCCTTACCATATTGGCATATGGGCAAAGCTATTGTTGGGGAAGGCTAATCTTCTCTGAAGGTCAAACTAGAAGTTCAGACACATGCATTCCCTACAGTTAATTCATTTCCCCTCCCACAACGGGGCTTCCTCAGAACTTCTTGCCTCGTGGATCACGGCTCGCAAATAAACTCATGTTTACTTTCCAGTGGCAAGTCATAAGCAAAGCATAATAAATGTCAGATGCACAGATGAAGATAATAATAAGCTATGACAAACCAACCCCTATTTGAGGAAGCACATCATATAAAAATGTGCTAAAGGTACAGTATAATCCATATAGGTAGGTGGGAGTGGCAGTAGCTCTCCACAGTCCACCCAGTTTGTCCACATACTTTGACTTTATTATCTCACAATAAGTAACATGCTTTGCACATTTTCAGAAGAGGTGTTCCATCACTTGGTAAAAGATATCCAATTGTCACTTAATTTAGTTTGCTTTGTTTCTTGATAGGTCATTGGAGGGTAAAGCACAGGATTAATTTGAAAGTCTGATTGCTGAGGCAGGTATCTGAAGAAATCCTGATGCTGGAGGGAAAACGGGCTCAGTAATATGCATTCAGCTTAATGTCTAGTTTCATCCCGAGGCATTTTAGAAGGAAATGACAATAGAATGAAGAAGACACATTTTTAACTATTTGATTGTGGCCCTTCCTTGTAGCATTATATCCAAACAAAGTAGAATAGCATGGAGTTTCTCTTGGCCTATAGGATATGGACAATGTTCTTAAAGAGAGACCTAATGAATTATCCAGGGAGGCAATAAAGGCAGAAGCAACAAACATTTAAGTCATTGAAACTGTAAGAAAATTATGATCAAGCAGAGGAATCCCGTATCTGAAACAGGACACTGAAACACATGGCAACGCCATCCAATTTCCTGTGACTTCTGCTGTTACGCTCAGATGAGGGACAGAAGAGTGACACAGAGGCTTAAAATATTGCAAGCAAATGCAGTTTTAAGAGAAGTCATTAGAGTGAAATGTTCAGCATGCTTTCTTTCTAAATGCAAGGTTAATGGGTTGGTTAGCTAATTGGAACATGGTGTCAACAGCAAGTAAGGCTGCCAAATATGTTTTTTCGGCAGAGGTTCCTGTGCCTTTAACAGCAGCATGGAGGAACAAAATGGAAGAAAACACAGCTTTGACCCATCATAGAAGCAGAGCAATGGGAGCAGTTCTGCTTGCTAATTGTTCTCATGTGGCAGTTACAGACAGAGGAGCCAGTGCCTAGAAAGAAACTGACACCCTTGAACATAAGTAGATTTAAGAAAGCAGAAGTGCTTTAAGAGCCCTTCTTTGATAAACATAGCATTGAAACAAATTTTTCAGTTAAGGCATGCATACCTCAAGAATTATTCTTCATCCACTTCTGCTACAAACTGTGAATGATGTTCTGGTGACTTGCTGTGTGTTTTGCTTAGGTGAAGTTTTACTGCATGTTTGCTCACAAATGTCCGAGAGCACAACTTACATTTAAACTTAGAGTCTGTGTCCTCTTCTCCAGCTATTGTTTCAGGAGACCTTTGAATTGAAATTCTGGAGATTTCTTGTTCTACCTTGGTTTGCTGCTCCACAGCCAACTTGTTCATGTCTTTCATTTGGAAACCTAGATGGGATTCTAAATGGCTGATGTATGTAGATGGGGTTCTAAACTGAGATGCACAGTCACTGCAATAAAAGATGGGGTGACCTTTATCCATGTTTTTCAAAAACTTTGTCCCTCCAGTTTTTCTGAGTTGGTACTTGACGTTGGCCAACCAATGGCTGATGGTGGTCATGGACAGTCCAGTAAACTTGGAGATCTGCATACGTTCTTGAGGGCCCAGGTCTGACAATAAATATTTGCCTTCGGATGTTTGGAAGAGACTGGAAGCAAACTGAGCTTGCAAAATAAGGAGATGCTGAGGATTCCAGTTGGATTGCCTTCCCTTTCTTTTGTGCAGGGTGGAGACTTCTGTGGAGACGTCTTCAAAACGCCGAACATCCATTTCCAGTTTCATCGATGGGACTCTGGAGGAAACAGCAGGTTTTGGTGTTGTAGCTTTGGGAAGAACTTTGACCATGTCTGCAATGTCAGACAATGCATGTTTCTGAGGTGGGGAAGTACAAGATTGTGCTTGAATTGATTCCCCTTTCTTGCTCTTAGATTTGGTCAGATCTATTGGCTGATCATTGTTTTCGAACACAAAACGCCTGGATGTAACGCTTGCAGGTTTCGGAGGCGTCGGAGCAGGAGATAAAACGGGCTTCTCCATCATGTTTAAATTGGTTTTGTGAAAAATAGAAACAGAACTCGTGCTGGGACTGGAATTTGACTGTGGTCTCAGAGGTTCATTCGCTTTGCCCAAGTGATTATTGAGCACAGATTGCAAGGCGCTCAGGGGATTTAAAGAAGGCAGCTCTGAAGCATGGTTAGAAACAGCAGCACATCCATTGCTGAGAGATGTTGACACAGACTCCTTTAGTTTTGTTTTTTCTTTTTCCTCATCTTCCTTTGCCTTGCTTTCCTCTTTCAATGGGCTCAGCTCTGATTTGTTTATGTCTATGCACACCTCGGCCTTAGGAGGGGATTCACTTTCACTTTGACAAGTAGGGACAGCATCAGTTTTGCTGCCCTCTTTGAGGCAGTCCTTTTGTACTTCCTTTTTGGCGTCCCCTTCCTTCTTCACTTGAGTACATTGGGCCACGTTAGCTGAGATAGGAACCAGGGGCATAACTTTCCACTTTGGAGCAATAGGCCTCAACTTATTACTAACTGTTGGCCTAACTTGTAGAACCTGTGACCCCACTGGTAAGGAAGGCTTGGCACCTTCTGAGAGTTGATAGGCTGCATGGATACTCGGATATGCACTCCAGCTGGGGGCTCCATTTTGAGCTTTATTGATGGCTGTCGTGACAGTGTTTTCCAAAGACTTCAAAATGTCTCCACCACCTTTTGAGGCGTCTTCCAAATCTTCCTCTCTAAGGTATTGATATTTCATTGTAGGGTCCAATGGTTTTGGAAGAGTATCTTCATAATCTTCACTCTTTACCACTTTCTCGTCTTTATTGACCTCCTCTGATTTATTTTGCTTAGTTTCTTTCTTTAGCTCGGATTGAGGAGCTGTAGAATCTGTTGATGCATTGCTGGAGGGTTTGGAATGTGGGCTATCACTGGCTGGTGCCTCAGAAAGCGACTGCATTTTCTCTACAGCTAATGGGTCCAAAACAAGTTGTTTTCCTTTCTTGGAAGCCGAGCTTGTGACTTTCAAAAAATGACCCGTGACCATCATGTGAGTGGTGAGTTGCTGCAAGGTGTCATGGGAGCTTCCGCACTCCATGCACTTGAGGATCTGGGATTTGCATGCTTCAAACTGCCAGGTGTAGCTGGCGCCATTCTGGTAGCCGTAGCGATTGTTTGATGAGAGCTGCAGACTTGCGTTTTTCTGGGAGGTAAACGTGTCGGCGAATGACCCGGTGGTGGAGTCTGGAGAGCAAGGCCTGTTGATGTCAAACACGCGCTTCTTGGCTGGAGTAACCATTTTGGAAGAAATGGTAGGTACTGGTTCCTTCAAAGGCACTTTTTGGTAGTGTTTTGTTTTTATCATATGAACACTTAGATCTTGAAGGGAGTCGAAGGAGTCACCACAGAACATACATTTCAAAACTTTCTGGGCATCTTCTTTATCCATGTCCTGAAAGGCCCTTTTTCGGGGTTTGGAGTAGCTGGTAGGCCTGTGCTTGTCTTTCTTATGGTTATCATCTTGGTAGTGACCACTCTCATTCATATGGACGGTGAGCTCTACCAAGGTATCGTAGGCAGCACTGCACTGCCTGCATCGAAACCTACTTGCACCTGTGAATACAGTCCCACACATTTTGCTGCTTTGTCTGTACAGCTGAACTGAGCTGAAAAGGTTTGGTTTGGAGACAGGCCTGGCAGGTAAGCTCTGTTGTAAGCTTTTGGTCAAGGCATCCTGGTGCCAATCAAAGTCACTTTTGCTTGCTCCGTTCCTGCTGTCGCATCCCCTCTTATCAGAATTTGACAGCTTGAGTCCTAGCCCTAAACCTGTCCAATAAGAGTCCGAAAGGATGTTGGCATAGACTGCTGTCATTTTATCCATGCAGCTGTGTGCTTCGCTTGGAAGCTTGGGGTGGATGTGGGCTTTGGAGTCCTGCACCTCCCTGGAGCAAACGCTTTTAATGTCAGCCACCTGGTCACTAGCATCACTTAGGAGAGATTCATTTTCAGCATCCTGGTTGGAGATATGACTTACTGGAGAATTCTGGTAGCTAAAACTGCCTTTTGGATCGGGCCCAATGTCATGCTCTTCATCCGTCCCTGGATCATTGCTGCCCGGAAGATGAGCAGTTGAGTTACTCTCGTTGTCATCCTCTTCTTCCTCCTTTATGTCTTCTTCATCTTTTAGATCGTCGTCCTGGACATAACCTGGAAAGAAACGTTGATAAAAGAATGATCAATGCATGTAAGAACACTGCACATTTGTTTCTTTACTAGTGGCATTTACTTTTCCTGCTTGGATTTCAGTTTACCCTTCTACTTTATAGACTGTTAGCACAAGACATTTTTAAAAAAGGAAATTTGGCAAGACTTGCTCGTTTTTATTGGCAGACAATCATAATTCCTTGTAACTTCTAGAGGTTTTGAGTTAATAATTTTTTCTGTTGCAATAGTAAAGCCCTAATGGTTCCTTTAATGGAACCAGTTAGAGAATTAATATATGAGATCATTTGAAGTCCTATTAAACGACGTGGTCAGATGAATATTACCCCAGGCCAGAAAATGACAAGTGGCCAAGATGCAGAAGTAAAGGATAGTAAAAGATTTCACTCAAATATTTTTGCTTCAAAGGATTTTTTTCCCAGGTAGAGTTCTCATGCCAGCTAAATAAAACAATTCAGGATGCTTGGAAACAAAGTAAAAACACAATTCTGAGCAGTTTCACTGGGGGTGCGGGGAACTGCACCCAGCACCTCCCTCTAGGGCACATGAGGACCTTCTAAGAAAAAAGAAACAATGATTTTTTGGGGGGTGGGGAGGTCGTGGGATAGCTAGAGAGCTTTAAGGATGCTGGGAGGCTGTGAAAGTGCCCCAGTGGTAACTAACATTTTAGTTACCCTTGTGTTAAATGCAGAAAGATGAGAAACATTTGCAATATGTTTAGACAGCATCTCCTACAGCCAACATTTCCCTTCTCCTATCAGGGTAAAGATGTACATATCATTAATAGAGGAACCATGAGAAAAGAGACTCTCCACTCCACTTCAGGACTTCTCTTCACCAGGTCAGCTTGTGGAGAAAGATGAGGTGTGTGTGACTCTTAAAATTTTGGGGGATGGTGTTCCTTTGGCCTGTGCACCATGGGATGGGAAAAACAGGGACGGACAAGCTGGGCGTGTGTCCTTTCTTACTTCACGCTTTGACTCAACCTGCAGTCAGAATGTTTGAATTGCTCTTCCATTCAGTTTAGCATTTGTTTATATGCTTGTTTACAAAATCAGTGGAACCCCGCTTTTCTATAGGAGTTTCTCAAGGTAGCTTACTGCAACACAGAAAAGCACTAACCTGCAGCTGTAAGAAAATAATGGCGAACTAATAGCAGGGGATATAAAATAAGCAACAATAAAGCCAACAAAAGCAGTTGGCGGTAATAAAATCATGAGAAATCAGAACTGTTTTCAGTTGGGATCCAGACACCAGTAGTTTCCTCCAGAGAGCAAATGCCAGACTTGAGATGCCATTGCTAAGAATGCCCTGTTAATCATCCACCACACCCTGGAAGGCAGGAGTTACCCCAAGAACTCCAGATAACCTGAGAGATTTGTGCAGGAATCTCAGACCAAGTGTATCCATCCATTCCAGGGGGAATACAGTGGTGCCTCGCTTAACGGGCACTCCGTTTAGCGATGAAATTGCTTAGCGATGACTTTTTTGGAGCTTTTTTGCACTTCGTTTAGCAATGATCCCTATGGGCAATTTTCGCTTAGCGATGGTTGGGACCATGCTTCGCATAACGATTAAATTTTGGGTCCCCTGTTTCACTTAACGATGGTTTAAACAGCCTCATGTTTGCTGTTTTTAAAATGTTTTTCTTTTATTTATAAAGTTAAAGTTTACTGTTTAAAATGTTTGAAATCATAAAATGCACTTAAAAAACCTTTGTTAACCAAATTTGACTTTGTTCTGACTCTTTTTTAATTTGTTGTTGTATTTTTCCCCCATTGAGATGCATTGAATAGGTTTCAATGCTTTTCAATTGGGGAACCGCGTTTCCCTTAGTGATGTTTCCTATGGTGATTTTTGCTTAAGGACGGCAATTCATTCCTATTGGAATGAATTATCCGGTTTTCAATGCAGTTCAATGGGAAACCGCGATTTTTTTGGAACAAATTAACATCGCTAAGAGAGGCACCACTGTACTTTAAAAGTCTTCCTGTACCATAGTGGTAGCAATTTCACCCTCCCTTCCTCTTGGTAGCACCCAAAGAAAGATGCTGTTGGCCCTTCAGATACCTCAAAGATTTCTGAAGTTCCAGATTTTCAAAGCCCCTAATTAAATCTTTTAAACTACTTTTGAGGCTTTGTTGGTTGCTTTTGGATATCGCAGTAAACAACAATTTGCTGTGGCAGGAACAACTTTTGGCAAGTTTTTGGCCTCATACACTTCCTGTCACGCTCCCCTCTTCTCCTCTGGCACAGCTACAACCAGGGGTTCAAAAGCTTTTACACCCACTTCTTAAAAAGTGCAACTTCTACTATCATCTCAGCTCAACCACAGACATTGATTCCATTTTTACAAAAAAAGGGCAGTTCTCCCTCTGCTTTTTCATCCTTCTCCCTCCTGATTTGTTGTTGTTGTTGTTGTTGTTGTTGTTGTTGTTGTTGTTGTTGTTGTTGTTGTTGTTGTTGTTGTTGTTGTTGTTGTTGTTGTTGTTGTTCCTCTTAAATGGACCAACAGAGAGAAGCAAACACAACTGCCAGGTTCACTGTTTTTTCCCCCACAATACAAATAAAAACTTCTGCTTAATTAGGCTTTGACATATTTACTCTAATCTTTACAAAAGAAAAACTTGTGAGAAGTCTTTTATTTTATTTCACTTTTTGGGAGACTGCTCGTTTGTTAGCATGGTGCGTAAACATGATCTGAAGGAACTAGGAAAGAAACAGATCGGAAAGGATCAAAACTGGTAACATTTGACTGATGCTTTTGAATGCCAATAACCTTATTTTGAAAAGTGAAAGAAAAGATGTACATGGTTTAAAATCATATACATAAAAGCTCTTGCCTTCTCTAAATCATTAATTCGCTTTGGGCATTTTATGTAAGGCAGCCAGTCTTTTAAAATGCAGACAGTCGGGGTATTTTAATGAATATACAAGGCATCCTCTCTGTGATTTCCTTAAGACAGTTTAGCTGTATATAAATCATTATATAAATTGAAACGCAAGAGCTTAATTCATCAAAACGCTTGATTAGCAGAAGAGATTCTGATAAAATAGCAATATACTGTTTTTTTAAAAAAATGAAACAAAAGCTCTTGCCTTCTCTAAATCATTAATTCGCTTTGGGCATTTTATGTAAGGCAGCCAGTCTTTTAAAATGCAGACAGTCGGGGTATTTTAATGAATATACAAGGCATCCTCTCTGTGATTTCCTTAAGACAGTTTAGCTGTATATAAATCATTATATAAATTGAAACGCAAGAGCTTAATTCATCAAAACGCTTGATTAGCAGAAGAGATTCTGATAAGAGCAATATACTGTTTTTTTTTAAAATGAAAGCTACATATGGTTGGAACCTTTAAGTAACAAATCAAGGCCATTCTGCAGAATCAGGTTGTTGCACAAAAATGTCTTTATGAAGCAAGGGTAACCTGGAGGTGGAAAGAAGTTTTCCCATGCATGTCATCCTTCTGTACATGCTATGGGCTGCTATTCAATGGTATCCCCTTTTAATTTACTTATTTATTTATTTAAGTCTTATACTGTACACAGCTTGAAAAAGTTATTTCCTTGGATTGCAGTTCCCAGAATTCCATAGCTTGCGTGAACAATAGTGGACTAGAAGATCCTGGCACTGTTGTCTAAATTTTCCAAACTTCTTAACAGTTTTAAACCTCTTCCGTGAAGTTGATGGCTGATCTGTTTACCCAGTAAGTGGACAGTATTCCCTAGGAGTCCATGGGCCGCCTGGATAATGGACGAAAACCAAAATATGAGCTGCCAGCCTCAGGTTACCCAGCTGTGATATGAAGCATATAGTGGCCCATTACAGAGAGCGGTTTTCTGCCCACAGGAGCCTCTGGGGTCTCCACAGGGAATAAAAAAAAAAGGCCCAAATCAACCCAGTAATGATTAGAAGTCCACTTCCCATTTTGAGAAAGGGGCATTTGGGGTTTTTAATGGTGTCGAAGTGGCAGGGTGGTGGTGGAGGAGGTTGTGATGTATTTGAAAGATAAATCGCCGGTTCTTGTGCCTGAAAAAGAAGCAACTGGATGTAAAAAAAACATCCAAGGAGAAGGTTGCCATCTCCCTTTTCTTCCCTAAGTGGTGGTTCCCAGTTCAGTTTTGGATGCTTCAGATATCACAGGAAATGTTTTGTGTTCGGCCTGAACGAGGATGAAAGGAAGGAAAGGGAAGACACGTACAGCCTTTAGGCATGGTTTGTTACATGAGAACCAAACTTAAGAAGCTCTTAACTAGGAGTAATGGTGAAGTCTTGAGTCAGACATTTATACAGAGTTTATTTTCCAAGGGCTGCCTCCTCAGTCTTGTCCCTGAATTCTGGTGGCTTCCCTTTGTCTCTTCTTTTCAGATTTTGTAGCAATCACAAATATTTTTTATCTGCAACAAAACTGCAGCTTCACCATTAGAATGGCAGATATACATTCCAGCAGTCTAGCACTGCATTAGCCTTGCCTCCTTCCACCATGGACCCATGTGAGCTCTACGTAACCAACACACATTTCTATTTATTTAAGCAACCAATATGCACATCTTTCCCTGGCACATACTCAAAAACACTGGAGCTGCCGGATAGCTCAGTGGTTTAGGTATCTGGCTAAGGAGCCAAAGGTTAGGCGTTCAGGGGCTGGATTTGATGATTCATATGGTCCCTTTCAGCTCTGCAGTTTTAAGATTCTTATTATTCAGAAACAAACAGAAGCAAAATTGATCTGTCAACTAGAGCAGGGGTCCCCAACCCCTGGTCTGCGGCCCGGTGACGGTCCATGGGCTTCCTTGAACTGGGCCGCAGACACGGATCTCTGGCCCCCCTCACGCACAGTGGGCGTGTTGCACTTGCAGGTGGGTATGTCATGCTCATGTGCATGCCTGCGAACATGACACGCCCCTCTGCAAAGCACAGTATGTCCCTCTGCAAGCGCAACACGCCAACCCGCAAGTGCGACACGCCTACCTGCAAGCG